ATGCCGAGGTGGACGACTAATTTGGAAGGAACACAACAATAGGGAAGGGATAGGAGAGGTAAAAACTGTATGGTATCTGGAAACACGTAAAGTGTGGGATAAGGCATACCAATAACCTGCGATCGAGGAGACAGAAGACTCCTGATCAAACAGCCAAGTGAGGAAATCCATAATATGTTGAACAGTGGGTCAAAAACTCTTGACCCCAAGACCAACGGCTGAAAACATTCCACTTATGTTGATAAACATCCCTAGAGGAAGGGTAAAAGGAACAAGCTAAAGACGAATCGACCCACCAGGACAAATTGGATCTCCTCAACCAGGTGTGAAGATTGAGGATATGAAAGACTGGATGAAACACTGGTAACCGAGGTTGGTGTAGAAGGGATGGAGTATGAGAAAGAGGTAACAGAGGGGCAGATTGGAGCTGGAGCAGCTGCAGAAACCATGGTTGTGCTGGCCAGTTCAGAGCAATCAGAAGGACTAGACACAGAGTGGTGTGGATGATAGAAATCACCCTGTGAAGAAGACGGAGCAAGAAGATAATGAATCAGAGACTAAAACAGAGGTAACTTGGTATTGAGGGATGTGGCACACACATCCAGGTGAGGAGTACCCCACTGAAGGCAAAGTCACTGGAAAACAAGAGGAGTAAGAGACCAGTCCATAGGAAAAACTTTGTTGGAACAGGAAATACGATCTGCAACAAGACTGATAGTACCCGGAACATGACACATAAGGATACGAATACCGAGCATGTGAGTCAAAAAAGGGAGATCCAAGGTTCGACCACAAATGGAATGAGAACAGATGATTCCTGGCAAGATGAAGAAAATGGTCCAAAGCACATTGTACACCCAGAAGCTCCAGAATGTTATTATAGTATGATCTTTTGGCCGAGGACCACTAACCTGAAGCTTGCTGCTGATAGACCGACGCCCCCAGCTCTGAAGGGAAGCATCCATATAGATATTCAAATTCAGATGAGAAGGAGGAAGCAGAACACCTGCTGATGTGTGAGCCTTGTCCAACCACAAATGCAGGTCGTGTACAAGGGAAGGAGAAAGGGAAATAGGAGCCTCTAATGGATCCAGCACAATATTACATTTGTCATGCAGAGCCCACTGAAGAGACCCCATATGCACTCGACTCAAGGGGGTAAGGCCTTCCATGGAAGACCACATCCCCAAAAGCAATAGAACCTTGCGAGCTGTAAGTGTGAAGAACTGAAAGCTCCATCAAACAGAGTCAAAAAGAAGGTTGGGCCCGACTGAGATTAGTGTTGAAAAAACACACCCAAATGGACAAATATTGGGTAGGTATAAGGAATGAGTTTCCACTTTGATTAACCAACCCACACGAGCAGCAGATGAGTGTGAAGGATTCCTGTTCATAATGAGCTAACAGAAGCCAATCATCCATATAATGATGGAAACACAACCCCCAAGCATGCAAATGTTGGACAAAAGCCTTGACCACCCAACACAACAGATATGGGGCCAAAGCAAGCAAAATTGATAAACTACCCTGTGATGCACGAACCAAAGATAGCACCTCAACTGACGAAATATAAGGACATGCAGGTAATCATTCGTAACGTCTACTTTGTTCATCCACAAATCCAGAGAAAGAGCCCACCTGAGGGTGAGAAAAGACTCCATGGTAAATCGGGGTAGAACCAAAACTTGATTGAGGTGGGACAAGTCAATCACAGACCGCCAGTCCTTGGTTTTATTGGGTACCACAAACAGCCTGGAATAAAAACCTGGAGAAGGATAATTGATAGGTTTGATGGCCTTCTGGGAGAGAAGATCTTGTACTGCCTTGGACAGATGTTGACTGGTGATAGGATCCCGAGGCAATGGAAAGAAAATGGCCATCTGAGAGAATGGAGGAGGGAAAAGAAATGGATGACAAGTCCCTCAGATAATACCGAATAACCTACAGATCTGTGACGAAAAGCTGTCAAAAGGGAACAAAATCGGTCAAGCTAGCTTCTACTAGACCGGAACCCACTGGGTAGTCACCAGTACTGTTGGCGATGTGTCCATCTGTTTTGAATAAAACGAGATGATGAACCCCTGGAGGTAAGAACAGGTAATGGGTGGGAAGGAGCTGGACGGGAAACAGTAATAGGGTATGTCTAGGCTCTGAATGAGACAAACAATCCACTAAAGAAGAATGGGTAGTTTGTTGTTGCACTGACTCCACAAGGGATTCCTAAGTCTCAGGAATATTATCAAAAACAAAATGCTGTAGAAAAGATGCCATATGCAAGCCCAGAGATAAATAGGCAGTAAACAAACTTGGGAAAAAGCAGCATCCCTCCACAGTAGATCCCAACAACAGAGAAACCACGTGTGTAAGGGTAGATCTGATGAAGGCAAACATGCCAACGTGGAAGTAATCAGGGAGAGGCTATCCCTTGAAAAACCCTCAGGATATCTGTGGGTCGTCTCGGAAAGGAGGTGGGTAGTAGATAAGTACTGTAGGAGAGTCAATGTGGTAAGATAAAGGCGGGAAAATTGGCCGTGGGATAAACGAACAGGACGATCAGGGGCTGCTCCCTTTACATGGGCAAAATCGATTCTTACTATTGAGAATCAAGAAGTGGACACTCAGCCTGATAGTAGGCCAAGGCAAACTGATCTGAAGCCCATGTAGGGCGAGACATGCTAGCAAAATCAAATCAACCATCTGAGAAACAAAATGCTCAGCATGAAACCTAATATCCAGGGAAAGGGGAAAACCAAATTCTGAGAGGAGGAGGTATCATGTAACAAAGAAGGATGAGGATCATACAAAATCGTAGAAATGGATAAAACGTAACATACCTGAGAAATCATGTGTAAAAAACCGTATTAGGCTTAGCTGATTCCACAGTATGTGCATAGTAAGACATAGCAAAATCAGGTGGCAGAAAAAAAGCTGTCAAAATCCTCGTCTACCCGAACAGGTTTGGTATGTTCAGGAGGAATAGGGGCAAGATCAGGAGAAGCAGGTTGACTCATATAACGATCAATCTCAAGGCAGATGATAGCCAATAAGTCAAAACATGAGTCACCCCCACCTGTAGCCTGTGTGAGTGTGCTAATAGAAGGTATTATCTCCGAAGTGGTAACGTGAACTTCAGAATTCATTGTGTATCAATGAAAAATCAAACATGGTCGTCTGATGAGGAAAAAAATTAAAAACTGGAAAAATAAGTTATCTGAAATGTCGTTAACTGTTGAAAAAAAATAATCCAATTTGGAATAATAACAACAACAAAAAAAAATCACGAAGTTGAACAACAAAAACAAACAAGATTGAAGAGCACTACAAAAACGTCTTGACACAAGTACTACCAAACAAGAAGTGATAGTTTGGTAGAATTGCCTAGAGGGAGTCACATACATCAAGAGAGTGTCACTTATTGGTGGAGGGTTGTCCCATGATCATCATGTCAGACACAGTTCAACCAGTTGATTGTAAGGTACATGAGAGCTCAAGGCTTGTGGCATGTGAAAAATTCTTATAAATATAGAGGGCAGCACTGAACAGAAATTAGTATTTATGCGAGAGGAGGTAATTACTGTATCGTTTGTTTGTAATTAAGCAGAAAGCTACACAATGGGCTGTGCTCTGCCCACCACGGGTATCGAAACCCAGTTTCTAGCATTGTAACTTCTCAGACATACCACTGTGCCACTGGTCGGGGGGGCTACTGTATCAGAAATTAAGAGTAACAAATATTTTTATTTCTTGCTTTTGAAGTTCATATGTCATGCTGTGTTGTATCCGAGAGAATGCATGATTCTTTCCATGATTCATGGTACACACACATTTTACTGATGTCATAACAGTACAAATTGCAACATTAAGCATCTCTTATGTGACGTAATTTTGGTGTCCACTGACTGATTGACAGACAACACACTACTGTATAGTGGTGCAAGTGTTTAAAACAGGTAACCTTCCAGGTGGCCTTCGGCCTCCTTTTGGAAAAAAAGAGTGAATAGGAAATTAATTGGCACAAGGACATTTTCAAATTGGGGGGTGAGCATGTAATAAACTCTTGTTATGTTGCTGTATAGTGGTGGAAGTGTTTAAAACAGGTGACCTTCAGCCCCCTTTCGGGGAAAAATGAGTGAATAAGGAATGAATTGGCACAAGGACATTTTGAAAATTTGGGGGGTGGGGGTGAGCATGTAATAAACTCTTTGTTAAGTTAACTTAGGGTTATGAATCAAGGCTATTACATCTGAATACAAGTCATGGCACATTCAAACTTTGATTGTTTCCACAAAAATAGAACTATTTCATAGATACCATAAATTGAAAGAATAATTTTATGAGATTACTTCTTCTGATACAAGGAATTATATTTTAAGGTTCTTACTATGACTCTTAGATTATTTGTCTGTATATAGTTTGACAGAGTTTACACTAAATCTTTTTTTTTAAAACATATTGTCATACCTGTAGTGAAATTTACCATTTCAATAGTATTTGAAAATTCACTTCTATTATTTCTAGTTCAAAATTAGGAAGCACAAAATGTGTGCCTTTTGGTTTATGCTTAAAACAAAATTTATTCATAAATATAAACATATTACTCAACAAACTCTGTAACAATCTTTGAAATACATGGACATCACTTAAACATCTATCAGGTACCAAAAAAACAACAACAAACAAATGTTTATCACATACAAACAAAACAATTTTAATACAAAAAACTTTAATGGAATAATATTCTCTAATGGTGTGTTCTCTACAGTATACACCAACAGGGTATTACATTACATAATACCATTTGAAAATATTACATTGTTTAGTTATAAAACATTATACCTGTGAAATACTTAAAACCTCTTCAGAAAACTCAGTTATTTTATTAACAGGATGAATTAAAAAGTTTTGTCGCCAACCTTACAATTTCAGTACTTAAAACTATACAACAAAAATATGAAAATCTTCACTAAGTTGTTTCCCTTGGTTTCAAAGTTTTAAATTTTGGGGAGAATGTTTTTAATTGCCAAGAAGTTTAATACAAGTAATGATATTTCCTGACTTTCGTCCTTATAAGAGTGATCTGTATATTAGTTGTTTGTGTGACATAACATCACAATAGAATTCCTAATAATTTATAACAATCTTTCTTTACATGTCCTATATAGATTTCCAATTTGAAAGAATATTAGTATCTTCACTGCACACCCCATGTGCTGTGTGCTAACAAGGCCTTTTAGTCATTACGAGATCTCAGCAAGTCATTGGGACATGCAGTTTTGTTCGAAATGATATTTATGTCAAGCATTTAGAAGATATAAATTATTATGGTACATAATGTTATATGCCAGTGAAGCTTGATCTCTGGATTAGTAGGTAGAGTGATGTCATAATAAGGATGACATTAATTTTTCAAAAATCTTTCTGGCAGTAAACAAAGATTTGCTGAAAATTATAATCAAATTTATTGTGATGCATTGATCTTATGTAAAGTTTTCAATAAAGTACAGAAATACTGAATGGTAAAGGTGACAGTTATCAAAACTATAAATGAATTAACTTATCTTTGATTTGTCAGAGTTTATGAATGATCCTAATTAAATGAAAAGATATACAAGTTTTTAACTGAATAAACATAGAACAAACGTTTCTTCATTAATTCTGAAGAGGTGACATGAGGCAAAATATTTTATCAAGAAGGGCCTAACTAGCAATGATGGTCATAAGAATAATTTATAAAAGTCTTATTGTAATGTTTCACAACATTCTTAATTTAAAGGTTTCATGCTTTGCCAGATCTAGTATTATAAATAACTAATTTTAAGATTAAAATAATATATTTACACTTAATTAAAAAAGTAATAAACAGGTTTTTGTGAGGATTCTGAGCCTGACTAAATTCTTTTATATGAAATGGGAAGTTACACAATAAATATAAGCAATATTAATCTGGTTAAAAACTGCAAATGTATGTAATTTTTATTTCTATCATGTTATTATTAAATTGAAAACCTTTAAACATATATTTTATTTTCCTGCACATTTTTAAAGTTAAACCTTTTACCTTTATTTTCATATATCACATTATGTGCTTTTTACTATCTTTAAAGGGTCCATCTTGTATTTTCTTATGCTTTATATGAAAAGTATTATGGAAAACACTTTGAGTTAAGCATTCTGAGGAATTGCCACCATTACAATGACTTGGTAAGAAAATAAAAGCAAGGTTTGTTTATTAATTTTGTTTTTGGCTATCTTTAGGTTTGATTAAATATCCAAGCTGGTAACTCTAGAATTGTGTAATATGCTTTGTATAAAAGTTGTTGCTAACTCTTGTATATGCAGAAAAAAGTTTTTAATGAGAGATCACACAACTGTCCAAAATGATTGGCGATTGATTTTGCATTGATAGTGCTCTGTCTGCCTTGATGAGTACTGGTCAGTGATTGTGCTGATAAATGAAGTAAAATTAAGCCTGACCAAAAACTCTTTTTACTAAACCTTAAATATTTTTTTCAGGAAAAAGTTTGAGTTTCTAAGGCATTTTGGAACCTACAAAGAACAAGTAAAGAACTTTGTACAATATGCATATGGAATATTATGCAGGTAAATCTGACAAACTGTATGAATTGTAGGTATGAAAGTCCACTTCTTTTGTAAATGAATTATTTCATTTTAAGTAATCAAAACTTCACAATAACAAGATTCTTTAGCCACAAGTAAATATGCAATTCCTGAGAAATTCTGATATTTTGGTTGTTGAAATATTTGTTCATAAATTTATTTGAATAACTCTGACAGAAAACTGGTTTCATGACAGCAAGTATGCAAAGTGTCCTACTTACTTCTGAAAAGGGCAGGAATAGTTTTTTTTTCAGATACCTCACACTTATCATTAGGTTCTTTTGGGATTATCTCTGACACATCTGCTATATTTTTCACAGTTGAAAAAATACTAATTAGTTTATTAAAAGATATTTTATTATTATCTGAAAACTGTATGAATGTGTTTCTTAAGTTCAAACACCCTTAATAACTATGGTATTTGAATGCCTTTTCATCCCTAACTTCTAACATGGGATGTTAACAATACTTTGGGAGTCACTTATAAGCTAAGATTTAACAGAATGGAATTCTGTAATAAAAGTTATTATAAAATGGGATTGCAGCCAGTGGCTTTCAGATTTTACACGTGTGAACAACTATTCCTACCCTGGTTCAGAAGTTCAATTATTAGTAACTTGATATAAAAAAATACATCAACAGATGGAAAAGCTGAAAAAACGTGGCCAATATTTCATTCAATATCTGATACCACTAACAGTTACTCCCTGTTAATGAATACCAACTGGAACAGTTGCATGGAAAACTAAAAGATAAGTTTGTAAGATCATAATGTGTAATTACACACATGCACATTCATAATTACTATTTTTATACATGCTTGAAATATTACAGAACTGGAAATATATACATATTTATTGTTAATCCTAACTTCCTCTTTTTGGATCTTAGAATATCTGAACAAAATCATAAGCTGATTACTTTCACTTAAAAATGTTGAGTTTGTAAGTAACAAATATGAAAATGTGAATGCTGCACACTCAACATCGGCTTAACTCAGTGTGGATGTTTTAAACATTCACCATATTTTGTTCTGATATACACACATATACTGTTTTTTTACAACAGAAATGTAAAAATAGGTACCTATTATTTTTAAAAAATTCAATGACGTTTCTGTTATTCTGCCAACTGTACTGGTATGATAATACTTATGAGGTTTCAGGTTTTATAATTAAAAATATGCTGTTAGAACTAAGTATCTGTAAAATACACAAGTTTATAATAAGCTTCCTTTATACATACAATAATTTCTTTAGCACGAATCCATAATTTTTAATGTACCACACCTTAAACAAATAACATGTAAACTGAATAACTACAACATTAAAGGATGTCCATGTTAAACATGCTTAATGTGTACGTGAAACTAAAAAAAAAATTACTTTTTAAATTTCACAAAAAAATAACTAAGATAGTATGAAGCACTCTCAAGACAGTTTACTTGTAAATATTTCATGACTCCATTACAGACTTTATACAGCTCAAAAAAACACAACACATATATGTACATTAGTAATATCTGTCAGATTTAAGAGTAAATAATTTATACAAGTGATCTCTGATATTGCATTACACTTTTACTGTACAAAACACTTACTTAAATACAGATATTATCCTTAATTTCATGTTTTGCTATATTTATCTAATACATGAAACAGGACCTGTTAAAATATTTTATAACAAAACCATAGAAACTTGGTTAAATTTTTTCTTTGAAAAAAAAGAACCACTTAGATAAAAATGTTGAAGTTGTTACCAACTCTTGCAATATATAAGGTATACATACACTTAAAGATATACTTCACCATTAGACCAATGTGATACAACTTGTTACTCTTCTGTAAAACAAGAAGAATACAGCTTTTTTCCAACTAAAACAATAATTTAGATCCTTGTGTACTGCCTCTCAATATATAATGTAAGGTACAGCCTTGAACTATCTTCTGAAAGTGACCATATTGTAAAGTCTTACTAACTGATATTTATGGAGATTCTATGTTAATATAAATAATACAATTTCATGATGAATAAACTGAAATAAACTGATACTCTTTACAAAAGGACAAAAGATAACTTGTTTAAAGTTTTGAAATGAAGTTTTCTTGTAATCCTTTTTAGTCTTATTTATTGATGATACAACACATTTATATGATTTCTACCTAATCATGCCGAGTCTTTATTATAAAAAAAGGAATCAAAAAGGGCAAAGTGCAACTTGTTAAACAATTTGAAATTAACAGTCAGTTGCTACAGGAATAAAAAAATGGGTTTTCTCTCTATATGTAAATGAGTATCAACCACAGCTTCCTGGTCTATAAACTGTACTTCTTTTCTATAAGCCAGAAGAGTGTGTTGGACACCCTTAATCTTACTGTAGTGATCTCAATCCCATGAATATACTAAGAATTAAAAAAACAAAACTTTTTGAATTAAATGTGTTATAACAAATGATTAAATTGATTATGATAAATCACTGTGTGCCATTGATAATGAAAAAAATTTCAGAAGAACATACTGTACGTTGAAGAAATTTCAGAACATAGGATGAGAAATGTAACTTCAGAGAGCTAATGAAAACACATCACTTACTTCCTATTTCTTATACAAGAAGTTGTCTTTAAAGTTCAAAAAAAGCATAAAACAAATTTAGAAAATGTACAAGTTTTCCCATAGAACTTTAGTTTAGCTGACAATATTATGTCAAGTTTGATTCTAGTTCACATAATCTCCATCCTGTCAAACAAAAAAACTACTTCTAACATCACTTTGAAGCAGTTACCTTTAGATTAATTTGTGAAAATGTTATGTAATGAGAATCTTTCTTAAGCAATTACATTTAGGGTAAGTCCATTTACCAAAATGTTATCACTAAGAGCTTTTGCTCAAGTGGAAATTTATGGCAGGTATATTTTGATATTTTTATTTATTTCCACAGAATTTCACTATTCAACATGTATTAACAGTCATAACAAATACTACTACATACCTTTTTTTAACATTCTTAACACCAACACTATTGAATTACTATTGGTAATGTGCTACAGTTCTGTACCAGTGAAATTTTACTAAAATTCATGCAATAGCATCATTCAGGTCTCTGTAGAAACCACCTTTTGTTGCATCTACAAGCTGGCCTGTGCTACCAAGGTATGTCTTTCTGCGATTATCAGCAAATCTATTTTGTCTGCAAACGGTCTTGTATTGAGATGGTGATAAAACACCTTCCACATTGCTAACCTTAATGTCTGTCTGTATATCTGCATTCGGTGCTGATGATGATGGTAGAGAAGTGTTCTGAGAAACAGCTTCTTCTTCAGTTATTGGAGTCAGTGTAGCTCGGTGATGTACATTGGACAAGAATGCTACAAGGCCAACAAAACCCATTTAGATGGTGAAGTGTCATAAAACATCATGATGGTGGAACTACAACCTGAGATTATTAAATCACTAAATCTATGAGTTGCAAATATTGAAAAATGACACATAAGCTTCATGTAAAGATAGTGAGAAATCTAAAGGACTATTTAAAGTTGAAAAATCAGAGATATCAATACGAGAACAGTATATATTTTAATACCTGGTGTTGATGCAGATCTTCGCATTCCTGTTACAGTTGAAACATAAGGTGGGCTTATTGGGTCACTTTCACTCCCAGGGAACCTCAACTGCTGGTAGATGAGGTGCCCTCTATTGCTGGAGTTAAACGTTGAGGTTGTAGACTAAAACAGATTTTTAAAATTATACACCAGATGTTTGTTTCATCTACAGTATAAAACCATCTACACTTTTAACTTGCTAGTGTCAACCAATAACACACTAATGTTTAAAAAATATACAATGGATAGCTAAACATAATCGACTTATTAAGTTAAACATCTTGATAATTTAAATAATGACCATATTTCTTAAAGTAGTTTATTGTAATCCATAAATAAATAACACCTGAATACTTTTAGGTCACATTCAGATTATTATAAGAAATATGACTAGGCTCGCAGTAATTTTATACATAGTATAAAGAATAACAATTATTGTTTAAATAATTTGTAGACTACATGGTGGGTCTTAAAATTGAAGAATCACTATAATTCATTAAAACAAATAACTAAAAGTTATTTATTACCATATTGTTACACAAAATAAATCATACTAAAAGAATCACATTGCATAGTATTCAGGCACTTAAAAGTTTTATATCAATCCTCAAACCTAAGTGACAGATTTTGTCTGTTCTTCTCTTTTTCTTTTATCACAAGCAACAAAATTTCATGACTTCTTATGTAAATTTAGTCTAAATCTTAATGCTTTATTCATAGCAGTTAACGAAACACATAGTACCTGTATAACCAACGAACTGTTAGATCTTTAATAATATTTACCTAATAGTTTGAATTTTTTTTCATGTTATAGTTTTAGTTTTTTACATAAGTGTTACTGGGTCTACTATGGAAGTGAGAATATAACAGCACATCTGGTGTTACACTTCCGATGCTCAAACCTGTTAGTGCTCATATAAAGTTATGGTAGGAGTGTTTGAATTTCTTTTCTGTCACAGCCCTACAAAACTTAAAAGCAGCTTCCAACGTATATCTATTATAAGAAATAAAGGTCTCCACTACAATCTAGTCATCTTCATGTGGTTGAGCAATTTCATGTTTTAGTTATTAATTTTTAACATTCCATCTTCTAAAGGAAGCTTAAAGCCCAAAGTTATGGAATTTTTTTTTTTTCGTTCACCCATTGCTGTTTTGTAGCTTTGTCAGTTTTCAGGTATTCTCACAAAGCTACTCAAGGGCTATCTGAACTAGCCATCCATAACTTTGAACTGATAGACAAGAGAGAAGGCAGCTAGTCAAAAGCACCTACTAATTTTTGGGTTGCTCTTGTTTTTCTGAATAATGGGGTTTGATAATTAGTTATAAAATATTAATTGCCCTAAATTGTGGTGCACAATTATTTTTTGGTAACAGGATGTGAATGATGGACCTACAAATCCATGGTCCAGCATGTTAATCACTGGGTCATGCTCATTACATTTTTTATAATAGTTTCATGTTTGTTTATTTTTGTGTTTTCCATATTCTGATTTGTTGATGAGCACCTTTGGGCTTATTTTTTAATTCTGCATAAAAATAAGTACTCTACAAACAACTGATCTGTTTGCACGTTTTATGCTAGTATTTACTTAATGTACACAAGAATAATACAGAATACTGTCAAGAGTTCCTGCCAAGCAATGTAATTTGTAACTATATTTAATACAGTAGCAGTAAATAATGTCTGTTCAATTACTGAGAATAACTATGTATTTAACTTACCTTTAAGAAACAGTAGCTACGTTTTTCACCACGAACAAAATTATTAGTTTTATTTAACAAATTACAAAGAACTTGACTCGCCATGTATTCTAAGCTGGGAATTAATAACACAAATTACACTGTTTTCAGGTAGGAGTGATATAAGCAAATAATCGTATTTTATGCTACAAATAACAACATTCTATTCTGGTATTTAAAAATTAAATTTGTCTTGAATTGAAAGTTAAACATAGGGACAGAATACACTCTGTCTTAAACATGAAATATAATTATATTAGCATAATCAGATAAGATTAATTACAAGCAGTAGGTAAATGAACAATTTACCCCATCTCCAGAGATTCCTAACAGCCTGTCATCATCATCTGATGACCAACCACGTACAGGATGAAATACGAGGATCATCACCCATATTGGTAAGAGATATTTGATGACCTAAGCAAAATAAAACCATTAAATCTTCTCTATAATTCTCATAACTACAGGCCAGAAATTCATTAGTATAATAAGTATCAACACACAGGAAACTTATATTTTATGCAGGTACTTTTATTAAAACTACAAAAAAAGCACAATATTTACTAATGATAAAGGAAAATAAATACATTGGTTCCTGAATACTTTACATGTCTGTGAAACGTTTCAGAAAAAAAAGCAATTATAATAAATCTTTGATCATCTCATAACGTCATGATATTTAGCATAAGAAAAACAAATAATAACATACTATTATCTTTGGATACTGTATGTCTATGATACTAACCATCAGGAAAGCAAACACTGGAGAATATATGGACTGTGTGTGACCCTAAGTAAAAATAAAAAATTAAATACATATATATATTTTTCATCTTTGATATTTTAACATATAGTGTACGAGTAAAAATGCACATTCTCTTTTATTCTGTGATGAAATATTTTTTTGTGATGCCACAACAAAAAAACACTACTCATATAATAGTCATAAAACTGATATCTGAAATAAAGCACATCATATTACTTTAATATAACTCAATAAAAGTCAGCTAAACTCAAAATATGAAGTATCAAAAATGCAAGATTGAAAAAAATAATTTCATATGTGTTAAAAAGGAGAAACAAATGAAAAGGTAGCATAGAATATTTATTAAACACATTTCCTAACAAAGGAATAACCACTTTCTGTTAATCATGATGTGTCAGTTTGGGAAATAAAAAGAGGATGTAGCTTTTTCTTTGAGCTAAGAAATATCTACATCTGTAATAACACTTGGCGTGACATTTTGTATTTGATTATTCTCCTTCGAGGTGTTCTTCAACTTGCTTAGTGAATCCAAAATGACAAATAGTAAATGCATTTTAAACCACATTTACTAAGTTGTTTAGCTAACGTGATTCAGATAACCTTGACAATATAGATTTTTGTCGAACAATACGTGGGAGTTAAAAATCTATAGATTTTAATTATCTTGATGGGGTAAGCAATAATAACATAGATTTGGTTAAATTAAATATGGATATTACATTTGAATTGAGATTTTACAAAATAATCATACTTACATATATTCCACTGCATCCTGAGTCTTGATTTCCCACTATCAAATTAAACATTAACAAAAACACCAAATGACATTATTTTTTAAATACTATGAAAAAAACAATATATACATGTATGTGTGTGTGTATATAAGAAAATAGTTCTAATATTATAAATTACATTGATTATATATAAGCGATCAAATCAGGACTACGTAACAATGATGGAAGTCAGCACAAAAACCAAATCCAAGATGTCTATCATGAGATTCTAACCTAAAAAAAGAAACATTTGTCCATTGCCAGTCCTTATGATTATTCATTAACTCAAAATGGAAAACGTCTGTGGTCATAGCACCTTTTAAAAGCACTGGGGATATTCCATCTATCAGACATGATCCAACTGCAAATGTCAAACTAGGTAGTTGTTACAAAAGATCAAAGTAGGGGTTAGGAGTTGAGTGCTTTAAACCATAATATCTTGACATAAAAGACAGTTATTAAAATAACCTTATAGTAGAAGTAAACCACCCTATATTTCTACATTTGTATGATTTACAACCTCCATCTTTTAAATAATTATTACAAAATGATAGTAATTAGAACTATAAACCCTTACCATGATAGTTTCGTGATAACAAATTAAACACCTATCCTTGACAAACTTATTCAAGTATAACCTGGACAAGCTGAGACAAGCCCAGCTACCTGAAGTTGGTCTTTCCAGCCCAGTGTACTGAACAAGTCACTAAATAATATTTTAAGGCTAGTTATTTACAAACTTTGGATAACCTTGAATAACAATTACCTCTTTTTGATCTCAAAAAGGGTAAAACATTTTACTATTTCCCAATCTTTATGTCCAGTAATTGAACATTATAAGAGAATTACTGTTGTTACAAATAGTCAAATATCTTGTTACTTGTGAGATAAATATTCCCTTGAATAAGATATACAGGATTACACAGTTTTGGTTAGGTATGTCAAGGATGGAAAAACTAAAGTCTCTTTTATTTTATCAAAAATTGTCACTTGCACTCTGCCTTCCAGGAAAATAATATTCACATCTAACTAATGTATACTATTATTGCTTCTTTCTAATATAAGTTCTTTTGAATATATTTGAGTAGGATCAAAGTTTAAATTATTGATACAAATTAAATCATCAATATAGCAAAAAGCATAAGTATATAAATTAGGATTTATTACTTGTTTCAAAAAGATATTTTCATAGAAGTACAGATACAAGTTAACCATGTTCAAGGAGAAATTAGCTCCTATTGGAATACCAACTATTTGTTTAAATACCTGTTTAGTAAAACCAATGTTATTATTATACATATAGAAACCTTGAGAATATTTGCACATTAATTTTTAGTGAAGTTGTATTTTGGAATAACTATGTCAGTGTCTAAAAATTGATTAATTAAATAATTAAAAACTAATCAGATCTTTTAAATCTATTTTAGTATATAATGTAGGAAAATCATAAGTGAGAATAAAACTGGTATGTTGTTTTTAATAATCCAAAAATAGTGATCCAAATCATTTATGCCAATTTTACTTTTGTATACAGAACATGTAGAATTTTGTTAAGTATAAGGAAACAAATTTAGTAACAGTACTTAAAGAGTTTGTAATGGATCTAAATTTAACAGGTGTTTTACGTAATTGTGGAATTTCATACAAAAAATAAAAATAAATTAGAACAAGCAGATTGTATGTTTTTATTCCAATTTTTATGGCTTTATTTAAATTAGCAATAACTATATTATTATTTAATGTACTTTTTGAAAATATTTTAGTTGTTTTAATTTCATTATTTGATATTTGTGCATATAATTTTTTACAAATAAAATCAAAATTACAACCTGTTTTATCAACAGGGGTAATATTTAATTTGTTTTTGAATTTGTCTAATTTTGTTTTCAAAGATATGAAATGTGATATCTATATTTAGAAAATTTATTAAAGTAGTTTTAACTGTTTTATTATAAAATTAATAAGTGATTTCCATTCAAAAACGAAACACAAAAGATAAGATTTTATAAATAATTTTAATAATATAATCTTTCACTTTTTCACTTTTTTTGTTTGCTTTAAATTTCTAAATCATCTGTAATGATATTAAAATGAAAAAATCAATTAAATCAC